CACTATAACTCTGCCAGTCCATGGGCAATAGCTGCATTAGCTTTACTCCTCAGTGGTGTGTGTGTGTGTGTGTGTGTGTGAATGGGCCAGTCCTGGAGCTTGAACGCAGATCCTGGGAATTAACCCTGAGCTCAGGGACAGCATCCAAGCCCCAGAACTCAAGAAAAAAGTAATAATGATTCTAATTGTATCTTTTTCCTCTCTCTCTCTCTCTCTCTCTCTCTCTCTCTCTTCTCTCTCCCCCCCCCAAGTTACAACTCTCCATTCTGGCCTTTTTGCACCGTGATGAATGTCAGCCAGGAAGAAGTGACCGATCACCTCCTTCAGTTCCATGTGACCGGTGGACGGGAAAAAGCTAAATTCGCTCCTGTTCTGGCGTCCCCTGGAGAACAGCTTCACGGGTGGAATTCTTCCTGGAGCGATCATAGGCTCCGATGAGTTCCGTGATCCTCGGGCCTCTCCCTGGATGGAAGCAGGAATATTCTAGGCGGCCAACGCCAGCAGGAAGTTTGTGGGGTGAGCGGTAGTTGGATAATGCCCAGTTTGGGGGACTGAACGCCAGATTGAAATGGTGCAAAAGCGCTTGCTGGATTTCATCTGAGGAACTATTTGGCCCATTGATTTCAGATTTAACAAGCTCTGTCACTGCTGGGGTGGGGGGGAGGGTCCACTTCCCAGCCCAGATGCTCTGGCAGCGATCTTCGAGTGTAAGATGATTTAGGTGGAAGACTGGAATCAATCCCAGGAGCAAGGAGCACTCAGAGCCAGGAGGCAAAAGGAAGGAAAACACAGGTCATGTGGCTTAGTATCACGTTTTTCTTTCCCTAGAAATAACAGAAAATGTGAGGGAAAGCATTGCTTCTATTGTAAGTTCTATGTGTGTGTGTGTGTGTGTGTGTGTGTGTGTCCTAGGTTTTGAACTCAGAGCCTGAGCCTTATCCCTGAGCTTTGGTGCTCAAGGCTAGTGCTCTACCACGTGAGCCACAGCACCACTCCTCGCTTTTCCCTGCCTAGGCTGGGTTTGAACCGTGATCCTCAGACCTCAGCTTCCCGAGGAGCTAAGATGACAGGCGTGAGCCACTGGCACCTGGCATCCTTGGGAAGTCTCAACTTTGTGTTAGGAAAATCAATTTTGGCTTGGCAAATTTTCTGTTTCTAAACATTTAGAATGCTGCAAGTTAGAAAAAAAAAGTGTTTACCCTCTTACGGTTTAATCAAATTGGTTGATGGCAGAAATTAGCATGACTAGTGCTAAGAGAAAATCAAGATGATTACCGACTCTGAACATATCCAAGCATTGAAGAACCCAATGTGTTCATCTTGTATTTCAGCCAGCTTCATTCTGCAACAGCTTGGTTCCAACTGTCTCTCATGGAGGAAGAGAATACATGATCAAGAAGAACCGCATAGCCATTTAACAATGAGACAAATTGAGTACTATTTTAGTGTAATATATAAACTCCACATTCCTACAACTTCATTTATAAGAAAGCATGGAATTAGATGAGTAACACAGATTAAAATATATATATATATATATAGTAGAATATTCTTTCTTTGGGTGGGCCACACATTTGTTGAGTAAAAAATCTGTACGTATGTATGTGTTTCTCTGCAGTATTTCTGCAAACACAAGTAGATGGGGTTTGGGGAGCAAGAGAAAGATTGGATATTGGCTTTCTCTGAAATTGAGGACGTGTGAGTTCTATACCTTAGTTTTAAAAAATAAAATTGCATGCAGAGATTCAGGACTGTCTAGCTACCCAAACTGGCATTTAAAGAGGCACTTACGTCCCTCTGAAATAATTCATCATACTTAAACATTAACATAAAAGTGCACACAGGCTGAGCACCGGTGGCTCACGCCTGATCTCTTAGCTACTCAGGAGGTTGAGATCTGAGGATCGCCATTCAAAGCCAGCTTAGAGGCAAGAATACCCATGAGACTCTTATCTCCAATGAACCTCCAAAAAGCCAGAAGTGGAGCTTGGCTCAGGTGGTAGAGTGCTAGCCACTAGCCTTGAGAAAGAAAACACACATGCACACACACACACACACACGGATAACACCAGACTCTGAGTTCTACCACCAAGACTGGAGCACACACACATACACACACTCACACACACACAATAGATAGATAGATAGATAGATAGATAGATATGTGGTGTGTGTGTGTGTGTGTGTGTGTCTGTGTCTGTGTCTGTGTCTGTGTGGGCTGGAAATTCCATAATGAAGTTCTTTGAAATACTTGGGAAAGCTTGGAGACTCCATACATTTCTGAACCGCAGCTACTGACACTGAAGACAGCCGTTAGGTCTGGGTGTAGCTGCACAAAGGACACATGTGTGTCTGACCTGAACACTGGGACTGTGGGTGATTATTTGCTGTGAAGCATTTTAAGCAACCTGAGAAGGAGATGTGATTGGATTCATCAGGAATCACCAATGGACCAAGAAGAAACGCACCCATTAGGCAAGAAGTTCCCCAAGAGGGAATTACAGGTGAGGGAGAGAAGGCTGCTCTTCCCGATTGCCATTTGTGCTCTGAAGTGACTTCAAACGGGCTGTGCATTAAAAATTCAAAATATTATTCTATAGCTCCTTGGAATTTCAAGAGCTGTAACTTAAACATTAATTGATACTAATCTGATACTTTTTATAACAGATGGGCCTCATTTCCACGGGTTTTGACATTTGATAATAACTGCTTTATCAAATTGCTGCTTCACTGACATTAAATCTTTACCCCAAGTTTGGTGGTTGTTTTTTCATTTTAACATTGATTGCTGACAAGTCACACGATGTAAATTCCTTTTTAATGAAGAGGAGCGTTAAAGAGGTTCTATAACAGAGTAGAAAATCATTTTTTAAAAAAATAAAGCAATTGCTTCCTTATCGGTTACGGTCAGAAACTGACAAGTAGCATGCACCTGTCAGCTCGGTACTCTGAAGACAGAGCCGAAGGCTGAAGAACCATGAACTCAGGGATAGCCTTAGCTACATAGCAAGTTCTGGGCCCGTCTGGAGTATAGAGGGACCCTATCTTAAAAATGTAAAATAAAACCTGACTGTCTCTATCTCTGTTACTATCTCTCTGGTGCACGTTCATGTGCTCACTTGCTCTCTCTCTCTCTCTCTCTCTCCCCCCCCCTTTCTATATAAAATCTATCCCTTCAATATCCATGATAGAATGGTTCCAGACCCACACACCCCGGAACCCCATAGATTATCTACAGATGCTCCAGTTCATTATATAAAATGGCACAATATTTGCATAGAATACACACACACACTCCCCTCGATATACTTTAAATCACCGGTGGCTTATTTATCATATGCCATACAATGCAAATGCTATGGAAATCGTTTTCTCACGTTGAGTGGTGGAGGAAATAATTCTCAGAAGCCTGTATGTGTAAAGCACGGATGCGGGTATTTTGTTTGTTTGTTTCTAGCATTTTCCCTGGATCGTGGCTGAGGAAATCTGTCTGTCTCTGGTCCCAGTTCCCAGTCTCCCGTGAAACCTCAGCTCCTAAGAAAACTGAGACCAGCTGTTAATAACTGTCCAAAAACGCCCACTCTCCGGCCCTGTGTGGTGTCAGCCCTGCCGAATCTAACGACGCTTGGGTGGGGAGAGGGTATAATATCTTCTCACAAGGGACCGCAGGCTCTTCCCAGCTAGAGAAGCAGGGACAAAAACAAATAGCTATTATGAAAGAAGAATTCGATTTTTCCTTTCTCACTGCACTAACTCAGTGGCTTTCCTTGCTGGCTATGGCCTTTTCAAAGTTACGGATTCGTGTTCCCCGTATAAGCAACGGGATCGCCATGAAAGAATTCTAATGACCAGATGGGATTTAGTGTTTAAAAACAAACAAACCAGCTAAACTAAAATTCCGTTTGATTCCCAACTAACTGACCAGCCACGGGTTGGCTGCCTACAGAATGAACTGATAGATTCTCACTGGCCAAGACGGATTCACCCTCTCTGTCATGAACACCGTGCAGAACAAGCCTCCAGCTGACCAAACCAAGGACGCCGTGAGGCCATGTTTTATCTCTCTGGCCCAGATCAACCCCCTGGCCTCTCTCCTTTCCTCTTCCCTTCCAGCTCCCTGCTCTCAAACACAAAATCACAAGTACTACAGCAAACACTGCGTCCGTGGTGGTTCCACAGCCAACAGGGAAAGCTCCTAAGAGGAGGCTCCAAGTCAGATTTCCCTAGAGGTGAAGAAGACGTTCATCGGCTGTGGGCTGTGACTGGGCTTCGCTTCCTGCTTGTAAATCGGGTTGGTTGGCACCAACTCCGCTCTGAGCAGCAAAACCCTGGGACCACACGGCCTCTGGCCTGCTGTGGTTCTTGCTTGAACGAGGTGCCCATCATGTGGACGGGGAAAAGGCCAGCTGCGGCATGATCTCCGTGGCCAGTTCCCCGGCCGGATGGCCCATGAGACTTTCCAGGCCTCCCAAGGATGCAAATCGTTGCCACCGCGGCTGGATGGGGCACCTGCTCCAGCACAGAAGCCTGGCTGTGTTGTGCAGGGAGTTGGGTCCATCCCTGGCTCTGTGAACAGTGTACAGAATCCCCCCGGCGCTCTATGGGCCTGGAAATGAGTTACGTCCCCAAGGCAGCACACATCTGGAAGACAGCACATGGGTCAAAAGCTGCCTGGTGGGAACTTTCTTTTGAAGTCCCGGTTTCCCGGTGGACCTCAGAATGCCCGCTTTCATCGCAACTGTAGATCTCCCTGTGATTCTTAGCGCAGAAATCTCGGTGTAAATCTCACACGGTAATTGCTGCCTAGAAATCAACTGGAAATGGATGAGGTTTGGGGTTTTTTTGTTTTTTTTTTTTCCTAGAACTTACAGGAAAGCTGCTAATGAGGACTGTTTTGCCCAAACTGAACGCTCCTGGCAGTCTGCTAGCCACACAGGCCTGGCCAGGCCCAGCGTTGGCAAGAATGTTCCAGGTGGTTCTCTGTTCTTACCCGCACCGGGTCATGCGCCGTGGCTGCAGGGTGGAGCTTCTGACCCAAAGAATTCGTGTCTCTTAATGGGTTCCGATATGGGGTCGCCGATGGGCAGCTGCAGAGACTTGAGGGCCGAAGTCACAGGGAATGAAATACAAGGGGTACAGGCTTCCTTGGGGTGGGCATTTACCCCGAGAAATGGGAACACATGACCAGGAAAATCTGCAGATCCAGGCACCAGCAGCCTCCCCAATCGGGGTCTGAACCTGTGAAAGCCGTACAGGAGGGTCGACTTACGGATCATGATCCTCATCAGCACAAAGCCAGCCAAACACCCCGGCCTGGCGTCCTTGGAGAAGTTCACTTTGGCGTACTGTCCCGGAAGGAAGCGCCCCACTTTCAAGCTGACCTCAGAGAAAAGTAAACAATAAATAACACGAACTAAGGACAAACACACAAAAGAACATGGCGTCTCCGCCAGGAGTTGTTGTTATTTTTTTTAATAATCATATGGAATTGTTGTTCACCCTGTGTGTTATTGGGAATTTCCTTTTTAAAAAAAAAATTGTTTCTGGAATCTTCTTAAACTCCTCGTTGAGATCAGAAAGTTAAAATACTGCGCTTCATGCCGCCAATGCTTAAATACGATTCCTCAGTATGTATTTAGTAGACGAGATTTACTCCAGGCCATTCTCAATCAACTGTACAGGCTGGCAGTGTGCGTGTAAAATACATCCCTCTATTCGCACTAAGGAAAACACCGCACCGGTGCTTTGTTTATCCTCAGAAGGAACCGGAGCGTGTCCTCTGCAGTTTTACTACAGGTTATCTGAAGGGCAGCCCCCGGACTCCTCTGATCCATGCACACTTCCAAGAGACAAAGAACAAGGGCCGTTTGATCTAGCACCTACAGAGACCCCATCCCGTGGATGGATGTTCTCAAATTTTTGCCAGACTGTGAATAGAGTAATAGGTAAATGAGGGTGTTGAGGGGGAGACCACTCAAAGAGCGATGGGAAAATCAGCAGGAAATTGACAAAAATACCATTCATCACCCTGATCAACCATCTCTGGGCTCCCTACCCCGTTCTGAGGGCAACAGGAAAGCCATGGAATGCTCCAGGACCCTTGCACGACGTTTAAATGTTTTGCAACTCAAAATCTTCCCGTTGGCGTTTCCACATACCGTTCAGTACAATAGCCAGAATAAAACCACTCTTTACTGGTGGCTCACGCCTGTCATCCCAGCTTTGAGCGAGGCTGAGAGCTGAGGATCTCAGTTCAAAGCCAGCCTGGGCTGGAAAACTCTGTGAGACTCTTATCTCCAAATAACCACTAAAAAGCCAGAAATGGAGCTGTGCCTCAAGTGGTAGAGCACCACCTTTGAGAGAAAACGCTAAGGGAGAAAGGCCCAGGCCTTGAGTTCCAGGCCCAAGACCAGCACCCATACACAGAGAAAATAAAAATAAAGAGACCAGCCCCTAAAAGGTGCCCATCCCATCAACAAATCAATTTCTTTTAAAGACTTTGGAACAGGGGGGGAAAAAAAGGCAGACTAATAATCCCAAATCTGTTAAACTCTCCTTTGGCCTATCATACCAACACAAGGCACTGATACTTATTTTCAGACATCACAACAACCGAAAGGAAGAAGATGTCATTACAGCCTGAGTTTCAGAGTTTGGTTTGGGGGCTAACTTAAGCAAAGACAGAGATCCAGCGTGAGACAGCCATCCAAGAAGATGCAGCAGGACACACACCCCGACTCTCCCAGACAGACTTCTTTTAAGCCCAAGTGCATCCAGCCCGCCTTTCTACAGAATTCTCAGGATTTTAATTACTGGAGGCCAAATTCCTGAAATGGCAAGTCCTGTGGTACCATGGCAAATTTATTTTATATAAGCTCTGCTATTCCCAAGAGTTCATTTGAAAACCTTCCTCAAAAGACTCAACTAAAGCTGGGTTGCTGGTGGCTCACGCCTGTCATCCTAGCTACTCAAGAGGCTGAGAGCTGAGGCTCGTGGTTCGAGGCCAGCCCAGGCAGGAAAGTTCTGTGAGACACTTATTGCCAATTAATTACAGAAAAATCCAGAAGTAGAGCCGTGGCTCAAGGGGGAGAGTAATAACCTTGAGCAAAAGGAGCTCAGGGATCTAGGCCCAGAGTTCAAACCCCAGGACTGACAAAAAAAAGAAAGAAAAGAAAAGAAAGAAAAAGAAGATTCTACTGATAACGGATGGGTAACATTAGGGCCTAAAGTCTAGGCTCTTGGTGAAACTCATATGCTTTAAAAACACATTTTTGAACGTGATTCAGACAATCGCTTTGGGCACAAAGTTGGTAAGCCCACAGTGGCAGTTCCAATTCAGTTTCGGATTACATTACATTCTTTACTTTTCTTTTCTTTTACTCTCTTAATTTAAAAACAGGGTCGATTATTTTCTCTGTGAGGTGTGTCTTCTTTTCGCCATTCACCGAACGTCGGGTTGTACCTTTTCTTTTATAATTCTGAATTTCCTGGAGTATAACTCTATAGTATCTTATTAATAGCGTAACTTTTCAGGGGGGAAGGAAGCTGTCCTAATTGTCTGTCTATCTCAGGAAACAACAGGATGGACTTAATTTGGCATCATTAAGGCACTGATTTGTCCTTTCTTCCAAGTCCTCCATGGTGATGAACGCTTTCTTGGACACCATTTTTCTCAATCAACTTCCTGCTGGCACAAGATAAGACCTCTGGAGCCCTAATCTATCTTTTTCTCCTCGGTCCCATCTTTAAATACATCTTCAAATGGTCACTAATTCATTTCTCTTAAGAAGAGGGCTCCATGGGTTTTTAAAAAAAAAATAATTAACTCTGAATTACATAGCACTATTTTTACTACTGGCAAGCTACACAGAGCATTCATGTACAGAAAAATGTGTGTGTGTGTGTGTGTGTGTGTGTATTTGTTTTTCTAGTTCTAGCTCAAGAGATTGGTGAATGATGTTAACATGGCTTTTTCACTTTACTACAAGGGAGCTTTAGACATCCTGGTATTTAGAAAAAGGGTCTTGGAGAAATCTTGTAGCCTTTACATTCCTAATATCCTGGTTTGCAAAGACTTTTGTGCCTAAATACTAATTTGCCCAAAAGTAGCGAAGACACGCCAACGTTTCTCTCAAGACTGAGGAAGTTATTTGTCCGCTAGGAAAAGACCGCGCACGATTTTCCGGCTTAATCCACACAAGACTCAATAGTCACCCACGGAATCGGCTTCTCTGCCTGACGGTGGGGCCTTGGGGCTGTCCATCCACACCCCAGCAACTCGCAGGGACAGAAATGGTCTTCACGGCCAGGTTTATCTAAAAGTCAGAAGCTGTTCCAAACACCGCCAGCGCTCAGTCACCGACGCTCGACAATCACGCGTTAGCACATCAAGGATCGCCGCATGCAACGTTCCTTTCTACCCGGTTCTCCCAGGAAACACTCCCGCCCATCAGAATGGAGTTTTATTCTTTGCACCAGCCGCCGGTGTGTTACCTTGCAACTGCAGTTCCACCCCGGTGGCCGGCTCTGTGAGATTCAAACCCCGTCCTGTCCGGTGATGCTGTTCAACTTTGACTTTACTTCTCCACCTTGTACCCCGTGTGCCCGCCCATCTTTGGCCACCCCCAGGGTGACCATTGGGCAGTACCCCATTCCGGGCTCCTGATCTTCCGGGCTCCTTCTCCAGCTGCCTTAAGTTTGGGTGCACCCTGGAGTTCCGTCTTCGATTTGCTATTTGCTCTTCACACGAATAAAAATACGGGGGTCGGAGAGAGAGGTGGACCGAGGGGGCGGGCAAAGGTTGTGTCATTACCTGGAGCACGCAGCCCTTAGTTGATGTAATTAAACGTGATTCACGCCAGATCAAAGAGAATGAATGTTCTAAAATCGATAGGACAATAATATATTTTCCACCATGTGACATTGGATTCTTTCATTGCATATAAAGGAGAAAGCTTGGAGAAGAGGATGTAATATTCATAACCTACTATAGATCTCATGCTGCTGAGATCCCACAGAAAGAAAATTTGAGATAATTTCGCAGTGATTAAGCATATAAGCTTTTTTTTAAAAAAAATCAAGAGGAAAAAAATTGAGGATAGATGGGGTTTTTCTACACACCAGCTGTGGCTTGCTTCTAAAACCGTGCAATCTAACTCCCTTCACATATACTTAGAATGGGGGAAAATATCTAATTGCAAGGTTCTCATAGGATTTCAAAGAAATAATATATGTATAATGCTGATCGCCATTCTTGGCAGATAGCTAATACTCACTACATGGCACTGAATGCACCAATTTGGTGTTTGTATCTTTTTTACTTTTCCTCTTGTTCACTCTAGATATCTCCTTCATGTTCCCAAATACAGAGTGGCAGAACACTCAGAAAACAAATGACCCCACACCAGTGGCTCACGCCTGTCATCCAGGAGGCTGAGATCTGAGGATCATGGTTTGAAGCCAGCCCTGGCAGGAAAGTCTGTGAGACTCTTATTTTCACCAAAAATCCAAATGTGGAGAGCTGTGGCTCAAGAGCTGGCCTTGAACCAAAACAAAACAAAACAAAAAAAACCTCAGGGACAGTGCCCAGGACCAACATAAAAAAGGAAGGAAGGAAAGAAAGAGGGAAGGGAGGAAGGAAAGAAGGAAGGAAGGAAGGAAGGAGGGAGGGAAGGAAGGAAGGAAGGAGGGAGGGAAGGGAAGAAGGAAGGAAGGAAGGAAGGAGGGAGGGAAGGAAGGAAGGAAGGAGGGAGGGAGGGAGGGAGGGAGGGAGGAAGGAGGGGAGGGAGAGGATGAAACAGGAGTCTACAGCACCCAAACTTCATAGTTTAAGCGCATGAAACAATGAAAACTGAAATGTAACTTTAAGGACACTGCAAATAAAATCCAAGTTGCCACTGACATCTGGCAGTTCCATTCCTAACCCCCTGTCCATTTGCTGCGGAATTTCCAATTATCTGATTTTTTTTTGAAGGTAGTGCCAATCACATGGTTTGCGTTTAAATATTTCAGCCAAAGAATGAAAAGGGAGGAAATCCAGATTGTGCAAATACGGCTAGCCTTGATCCTGGTTCAAATAATCACAGTCTGATGTCAGACAACCGAGCTGGGCACACATCTGTCTGTTCATGGAAGCAAACACCTGTCTACTCATCCTCACTTTGTGGGAAGTGAAAAAAATCCACGTCAGTAAGAATAGAAAGTAAAAAGGTCTCGAGTGGTAGAGCAACTGCCTAGCAAGCACCTGAGTCCTGAGTTCAAATCCAATAGTGGGAAAAAAAGTGTAGATCAATCAGATCATCAAAAAGAAAATAAAGCCAGGTCCTGGCGGCTCACACCTGTAATCCTAGCCACGCAGGAGGTTGAGATCTGAGGTTCACAGTTTGAAGCCAGCCTGGGCAGGAAAGTCCATGA